GACAATGTGGCCAGAAGTGACAGGGGACTCAGGCCACAGGTCTTTTAACAAGAAGAACTAGAAAAATAGAAGAGCCTTTAAAGACTTTTGTGTTGGAAAGTTACAAGTTTACAAGATATTTTAGGAAGTGAGTCTTGAAACAGTGGTCAAATTTAATATAAAGAAAACAGGCGAAAGCCGAAGATGGTAGAAAACTGCTTTTCCATAGTATAATAATACCAATAACTACTTCATGCAGCTATAGTAAGGACTGAATGGGAAGATCAATGTATAGCACATTGCAATAGAGTAGCTGGTAGGTGATAAACACAGACATATTATTATTATCATGAGATAGGTTATAAAATTTGCACTTAAGCAGTGGTAGTAAGGATGGAGAATGGGCATAAAAGATAATAAGTAAAACTTGGGGAACATAGGAAATAAATCAAAGATAAACTTGGAGGTTTTGATCCAGTGATTGAAAATTTTTTGGTGCTACCAATAGAAAATGCGAAGTCAGGAGAAGCAACTCCTAAGGATAGCTGGTGTTGGGCTAGTATGAGGAGTTGCATAAAATGTGGAACATCATGTTGGATAAAATGTACCTGTGGCTGGAGGACAAAGGCACAGACTACTAAGGAACTGTCCTCCTTGAAGCAAGAAGACACACCACTGAGGGAGACTTACAATGGATAATGGAGAGAGAGGAACCTGGGAAGGGGAAGAGAATGTTAAAGAGGAAATGGAGAGGGGACCAAGGAGAGAGTTGGTATAACCTGGAGAGTTCAGTGTGCAAGAAGACAAAAGAGCAAAGTTCTGCGTAGCTAATGGTCAACATTATCCCTTTTGGGGGGTACCAAGGATCCAACTCCCATCCTTGCACTTGTGAGGCAGGTGGTGGAACCACCGAACTCAATCCCTGGCCTTGGTCAACATTATCTAACGATGGGAAGATATCAAGATTAGGCCATAATTTGGGGAATGAGTTCTGCAGAAAAGTACTAAGCACGGGATTACATGACTGAATGAGTGATGAAGAAAAGAGGCAGAAAATTATGCTAAAATTTCAACTGAAGGCAAGATGAGGAGAAAGAATGATGGGTAGGAGAACTGGGGAACTGAACAAGTGATACTCTTCGTAGAACCGGGTTTGTGGAGGGAGAGGATGCTGTGCCGAAGCAAGAGATTTCAAATAAAGAGAAAGAGTCCAGGGCAAATTAGGAAGGCAGGGCTGGCTCCTGACCACTATGTGGTCCATGGTGTGGGAAGGGAGGATTCTGTTTTGTACCTCTGAAATTAGTGACAAGAAAGGTGAGGAAACAAGTGCATAGAGCAGGGTGCAAAGGAAGAATACTGACCATGCTCACGCTGTCTATTTAATTGTCTCCGGACTTTGAGGTCCTCTCTTCTTAAGGGATTTGGAAATTATCACATGGACACCAGGGCAAGATGGCTTTTCAGTCCAACTTCCGGATCCAGTCCCTACATGACCCAGTGTTTCTGTGCACAACCAGGGAAGACTTATTTGTCAATCCAAGTATCAAGGCACTAAATGTTCCATGGCTGGTTCCAAATTACATCTATGATGAAACAAAGCAGTTTTCCTAGCAGACATGACTCTGTGCATCATATCTACACCCTGGATCCTGGTGTTAGCCTTCGTCACGCTTCAATATTACTTTTTAAATCCATCTACATGCACATGTGATTGCCTTCTTCCTATTTAAAGGTGTTGCTCTGTGGTCTCTAGGTATTTAACTATGGCCCTAAATCCTTCTTATCCTTCAGACTCCTTCTTGGTGCCTCTTCCAGTCCTCAGGGCCCTTTCCATCTCTGATCTTTGGGAGTTGCCTTGCTCTACAGCTCAGCTGGCTGAAAATGGAATCTTTTCTTTTTTCCTTTAAGGCCCACCCTGTCCAATGTCGGGTTTGGAGTGCCCACTCAAAAAACAAACATCAGAGAACAACTAAACCTAAACCAGTCTCATTAAAGAAAGTGAGTAGAACTTCTCCCTAAGAAGGGCATGTCTATTTTGTACATTAAAAGAATGGAAAAATCCCCTACCTTTGCTCTCACTGGCAGCCAGGACCACCTGAGTTTCTTTCTACAACAGCTCCCTGCCTCTTTTCTTCCTTCTCACCCTATATCTCAGCTTCAGCCAGCCCCAGTCAGGGTCAGCCCACTAATGAACAGGCCAAGCTGACCCTTTACTTCAGCATTAAAACTTTCCCCCAAACCCACTGAGAACTCGGGAAACCCTTAGCATAGAGTACAAGCTCTGGAAGGTTTGACTCTGTGACCTCTAAACTCCTGTCCTTGCCCGTTACTCTGTCTGCAACTTTTGAAAAAGCCCTTTTTACTTTAGGATTCCTTGTGTGGATCTTTTCACTCTAATACTTTCTTGCCTTTCCTCCCCTCTTTTCTCTGCTTTCACCAAAGCTAATTCCTACTCATCCTTCCTGGGCTTGGCTGTCCTCCAGGAATGCCCCCTTAAAGCCCTATGAAGAGGTGTCCTTCTGTGTACTTTTGTTGACCTGTGATTTACCTTCCACTGGCAGAAGTCACTTTATATGATAATTACCTGTTCACTAGTTGGTTATGCCTGCTGGAACATATGTTTATGAGGAAAGGGACTATTCTCTTCTACTACCACAAGCCTGGCAGTGTGGGTGGTCATTGAATATTTAAATAAATGGTTCAGTGAATAGTTTGAAGAAAAGTCGAGGCGTGTGGCATATTCCCCAAATCCAGAGTATAGACTATGCCTAGATCATACAGGCCAAGAAACAAAAACCACTGTCACGGCCCACAGACAATAGCAGTAACTGCCCAAACTGTACAAGGAGCCACCTTGCACAGGAGTAGTGTAGGCCTGGGGCAAGGGTAACAAGGCCCTAACCTACTGAGGGTTACAGGGGAAGGGTCATTGTGATGACCCTTCTCCTTTTTCCACCCAGGAAGCTAGGGACCACAGTGTAAAGTGAAGATCAGAGGGGCAGGAACAGAGAGAGGAAACTACAACTTGTCCCTCCAATTTTACTCATTCAACCTGCCTTACTGAGTGCCTACTCTATGCCAGGCTCTGTGCTGGGGACAGAATGTGGATAAACATGAGGCATCTGTCCTTCCTTTGAGGAAATTACTGTCTAGAGCTGTGCACAGCATTACTCAGTCACAGAAGTTATTGTGCATCTTTACATTACTTCAAAGTGATACATTCAGCTTAGGGGTGTAAGAGAAAAGATGTAGGAAATGGCCTAGTCAAAGAAATTTCCAGGAGAAGGAAGGAAGGAATTGGGAGTTGGGGGGTCAAACAGAAGCACACTGGGGCATAGGCAGAACAATAAGCCGTCCAGGTAGAGAAGATGTCATCTTCATCAAGCCAAAGAAAGAACCACTGTAACCCAGTCCAGTTCGGTAGTTTTCATCTGCAGCTTCTCAAACATCTGTATTTGATTTAAAGAAGAGACTAGGCAATGGGCTTGTGCGAAGACACTGCTGAGGGTTACTGTCCATTGCGAGGAGGGGCTGCAGTTATCTGCCCACTTCTAATCACGGCAAGCTCTGACTACCAGCCTTTCTCATCTGGACAGTTGCATGGCATGAGGGGCAGCTTCTTTTCAAAGTTGGATGCAGCACAGCCCAGCCAGCAAAAGGAAGGGCCTCCGGGAGGCTGAGCGCCCATAAGCTGTGAACTGATCCCCCCTCTTTCAGCAAGAGTATGGCGCAGCAGCTATATTTGAAAACCGAGGTAAACAAGAGCTCAGCGCGAGTGGACGGGGCACAACAGCTGTGGAAGATTAATCACACACGGCTGCATGTCACCAGGTCTCAGAGGCCGGGGGCTTCCATTTTGGTGCCCCAGCAGAAGGCCGGATGTGTTCCTATCACATACTCACCCCCACACACACACACTTAGGGGTTTCTTGACCACCCAGGAGCTAGGCACCTGGCCTGCGTTTCTAAGAAATTGCACCCAATTTCAATGCTTCTGCCTGGGAACCCGAGCACCGAACGTTCAGGGTTTTGTTTTTTAATCGCTAGAAAGGGGCGGGGGAGGGGTGTAAATTTATGGCACTGCATTAAAGGTATTTGTTCTACTTTAACCTCTCCTCTTCCGTGGTGAAAATAAAATATAATGAATAAAGACGAAAAACTGCCTCCCCCCCAACAAATGGATTTCTTCATTTTCCCCAGTAACTCAGGTCCTCAGGGCAGGTCAGCCAGGGCCTGAAAAAGCCTCGCTGGCCTCTCTCTGAGGGCTGTGGCCGTGTGTGTGCATGTGCGTGTGTGTCTGTCTGGGGGGACGAGGGCGGGTGGTGGTGGTAATCACTATATATTTCGCTTCTGTCCACCTGGCCCGGGACCGCCCAGACTACCCGCCCTGCTCTGCACCCTAGCAGCGCAGAACCGGAGAACCCCTCCTTGTCATCCCCCTTGGCACCAGCCGGCTAGTGAGCAGGGGCTGCAGTTCCCGACCCGCGGTGGTGGAGTCCCGAGGTTGGGGTGCGCGCGTGCGTGCTTCTGTGCACGCGGGCGCGCGCAGAGGGAACAACGCGCTCCCATCCGAGCCCCCAAAGCCGGTGGGCACTCAGCCCCAGGAACACAACACGCCCTGACACAGGCAACGCACACATGCACACATGCATCCAGCGCGCGACAGAGGCCACCCCAGTACACGGAACACCGCCCCCAACCCAGCAAGCCCGCTGCTGGACAGCACACACGCTCCCGGCTTCCCTCCTAGGGTCCCCCAAACCTCCCTAGACACTCTGCCAGACCCCCGCCCCCAACACCGCATACCCAGCGTGGACTTTCCGGGGCACCCCCCACCCCCCGCACACTTCTGGCACTAATCCCACAGGATGGCGGTGCGTGTGAACGATCTTGAGATCTAACTAGGAACCCAATTATTCACGACCGGAGACCCTCTGGGGGTATCCCAAGTCCCCCCATCTCGTCTTCCCTGCCTTGGCCGCCTTCGAGGGGGAAGGGCAGGAAGCTCGCCCATTACTCACCGTTTCCTCTCGGCCTCCCAAGCCAAGTGGGCAAGTGAGCGGAGTGAGGAAGGCGAGCGCTGCCCTCG